ATCATACACAAAATTAGGTTCAATAAACAGTAGCTGAAACTAGTTTTTTTTCCTTTCTTTGATAAAAGTATACAGATTTTGCAGTTTCTAATTTTAGCTCTAGAGTTTACAATGAATATCCTGAAAGCTTTATTTTATATTTTTAGGTGGAGAAAGTATATTTAATTTCATGTTTTCTTTATTAAAAAAACTCAGAAAGTGAGAGATGCTTATTGTTTCCTTGGCTGTTAAGAGTGTGTTTGCAGTATTTCAATGTTTGCTCATTGTTTAATGAGCAAACAAAACCAAGAATGGATTGTCACTCAGTGCCATGTCAGTTAAGGGGACCTCAAGGTGTTTATTGCTATAGAATTAATAACACATTTAATCAGCTGTTCAAGTTTATTTTGGGGCCTGTGGTAGTTTGGGCTAGGCCTTCCTTGGTGACCAGTCTGTAACCAAGGAAGGGCCCAGATTTACCCAATATTCCCTACGATTTTTACGAAAGCCAGGCTATAAGAAGAAAGGAGGAGAGGCCTTTGCTCTCTTTCCTTCCGGCGGCTTGGAGGTGCAGGTTCCCTCCTGTTGAGTCTGTCGTGTTGGGGAGCGAGACCTGTAAGGCCTTGTCGACCTTGGGAGACGGAGGTTGCTGGTGATTGTTCCAGTGTGACTTTCTGTTGTCCCAAGGAGAGTAGTAAGATAGTTTTTTTGCCAGTTCTTTTAGTTGCTAGATCTCGGGCTACTGATTGGGATATATATATATTTTATTTTGGTTTTGTTCCTTTTCCCTTCCCCCTTCCCTTTCCCTTGTGAAATTGTATATATATTTCAATTGTATATAACTGTAACATAAGTGTAAATGTATTTATATATATATTGCTTTAGCTGTCTCTCTCTCGTTTTGGGTTTTCTTGGTTGTTTTTTCCCTCTTCTCCCTGAGGTTTTGGGGGGAGGGGAGGGACGACTTCTTGTGGTAAGGTTTGGAGACTTGGCAGGGAGCCAGCTTCAAACCATATCAGGGCCTCTTAAGTATTTTTGTTTGTTGGTTTCAGTGTTGGGTTTTGGTTTCTTTTTTGTGTTATCACTGCATTGTATATGTGAACTTTGGCCTTAATGTAATATTTCTCATAATTAAGTGGTCTTGACAGGCATGTCTTATTTTAGGGACTCTAAATGTATTGTTACAGCAAATGTCAACATTTTTTAAGGAAATATAAAACTGATGAATATCTGAATAAATTTTTTTTTACAATCTTGTAATTTTCACCATGGATTCTAATGGTGCAGTGGACGCATACATGTCTAAAGTGTAGTAGTAACATAGAATCTAGAACAAATCCTTATATGATAGCATCCCTGAATGTGTTTTAAGTGAAGCCTTCATTAGTGAAGTGAGAAATGTGAATTCATGCACTGCTGTAACATACTCAAACTTTTGCCTCTGAATGCTGTAAAATGCTATGTGGAAATGATTCTTTTTCCATTGCCTACTTTGCTCCTCTTTTTGGGTGGAAAATCCACAAGTAAGTAAAGGTCTTAATGGCATGTTGAACCTGTGGAGAACTCTCTGGGAGGACTGCAGACATTCAAGGGTAGTAGTGTATGGGCAGGTGGGCACATGTCAAACCAGAGCAGTGCAGTGCTGCTGAAGGAGTTGTATCTTATTTTTCCTGTAAAGACCTCAGATCCAATTGGATAATAATTATTGAACAATAATCTAGGTAAGATTCTTTTCTTTACTGAAAGATGCATTCAGGGCTATCCATGTACCCCAGAGAGTATGTGCTGTTGCTTTCTGTTTTCAAGTTTCTTGCGTTAAACCTCAGTGCCTTCATTAAACCTTCTGAGCACAGAACTGAGTCCAGGAGACTTGTCTTTACATGACAAGGAAGATGAAGAAGTTACTTTGTATCTCTCTTTAACTCTTTACTCATTCCCTGCAAGCTCACATGCAGGCATTGCATCCCTACATATCGACAAAGAACAGTAATAGGGAAGCGATAGTCATAGCATCTAAGACAAGTCACCATGACTCTTGCTACATGATCAACTTCCTGGAAGTAAAGTTTGTGAACAAAACTGTGTAAAAACTACGGAGAAACCAGATATGTCAGCCTGTGTCCTTTGGACAGTCTAATTGCCTATATGCCAGAATATGGATATAGGTCACTTCATATATAGGTGTCCTTGTGGTGCTCAGTGTCTTGTTCATACAACCTCACTGAAAAGACTTGATTAAAGCTAAACCGGAACATTTTAATGAAGGTGTACTGCATCACAGAGGCTGCAGTGAGTTCTGCTGGGTACCTCATCAAACAGGCAATAGATAAAAATGCCTTTATGCCCTGGTCCTGTACTTACATGCCTGAGTTAAGCATGTCCATAAGTGTTTGTGCGATGACAGCTTACGTCAATGAGTTTTCCTTTGTTGTGCTTGACCTGTGTTTTTTCTTATAGAGCAAAGTAAAAAGGAGCTCAGTTTCCTAATGGATTTGGAAAAAAGATGACTGTTTTATGTTCCTTGCAAGTTGTGAGCTGGTCTGATACTTGAACTACTGAGGCAGGGCTGGTCTTGTGTAGTATGGAGGTCCAAGAAGAGCTTGGGCCCTACATTCTTGCCCTCTAATTGTTTTGCTTTCCTGAGTTTCTCAGGGTTCATACTGGTTCATAGTTCATAGATCTCACCCATTCCACCCACTCTTCCTCTGCTCCCCTGGTTAATTTCCTCAATTTTTCTTGTAGTTCACTATCCTCTCCCAGGTTTTCATCTCAAATGGCAGGTTCTGATACTGCTGCTTTATCAAGTGCCTAGCTGTTGGCAATAGCTGGTTAGGAGGACAAGTCCATAAGTTAACAACTTCATGCTTTAAACACTGGCATCAATTCAACGAGTGCATATTTTGTGTTTGCCCCATGGACCAATCAGCCAATGTGCAGCTGATCTTCAAAAAGAGAAATTCTCTTGGACATCTTATAAACAACATAAAAGCAAGGCTAGTATTGATCCAAACTGATTGACTCTGGGATTGTGATTATAGCCATATGAACCTTTAAAAATCATAACTGAAAGTTTCAAAGCAGGTTATGAGTTCACTGAGCCCTCCCTCTCACTTGAATAATCAGTGATTTATACATATATAATGACTTTAACTGACTTATGGGGTAATTTATGTGGCAATGTGCATGATATATGGATTTAAATAGACTAAAGAGAGGGGAAAAGGAACCATCTGTTCTCTAGAAAACCGTCTGCTGTTTATTCAGTAGGGATTCAAGAACTGTTTGAAAAATGTGTTTAGAAAGCCATGAGTAAATTTTCCAAATTTCCCATGCTGTCTGGATGACATTCTCATATATTGCCCAACAAACAAGGTTAGGAACTCAAATTTTTTAGCTTTTGCAAGTAATTATATTTCATAAGTTATTCAAAAGTCTTTATTTTTATGAACATATATAGTGGGTCTTCTCCTGATCTCCACAGTGCTCATGGAATACTGTTTTTGCAGATACAGAGATCCCAACACCCCACTGCCCAAGTTCAAACATGAAAATGAAAGTGGCATTTCTTGGGAGTAGCAGGATTTTATTTAGGACAGGTATTTAAAAGCAGATTTACCTACACACCTAGAAGGGCTTGTCAACTGAGAAATCTCCTTCTGCCCTTCTCTTATGCAATATGAACAAGCTAACAATCATAAAAAACACTCCTGCATATTGTTAAATTTACACATGCAAACTTTGTACGTTCTTCAACTGTACGACTCATGCATGCAAACTTGAGCAAATGGGCAGGCACTTGTGGGATCAGGGCTTAACTTTCTGCCTGAAAGGGAAAAATCATAGAATACAGATCGCACAGAGCCACAGAATTACAGAACATGCAGAGTTGGAAGGGGGCGATAAGCATCATCTTGTCCCTGCACAGGACTCTGCAGCAGTGAAAATGCAGAGGTGGACTGGTGTGTGCTCCAGAAACTATAGACAGCAACTGCAGAGGCAGTTGCAAGTTTTTTGTGTTCTACTTTTTCTTTGTTAGCTGGGTTTTGGTTTTGATTTTTATTCTTTTTTAATATTACAGGGCTGTTGGTTTGTAAATTGAACATACCTGTAGCAAGCTCAGTATTTAACACCACGGTGGAGAACAAACTTCCCGCCAAAAGGACCTTTTAAAGTCAACCTCTCCCGAACCTTCAGGCATCACGTCTCCTGAAGCGCTCCCACGCCAACTACGGAGACAAAACCCTCTCCCAGACTTCCCAGACGCCCTCTGGGGAGCAGAGCCGGCCCAGCCCGCAGGGGTCAGTGCTGCCGCGGCCACGGGGAGGCGACGGGGCAGGAGCAAGGACCAGGGCCGGGACCATGGCTCCCGCCCCACTGGCTGAGCTCGAGGACAGGACAGCGAGGGTCCGGCCCCGCACTTGGAATGCGAGTGGGATGCCGAGGGATGCGGCGCGGTACCGGGGTGGCGCGGAGCAGTCCACGGGCGGCTCCTCGGGCTTGGCAGGTGCCGCTGCCGCTCCCCGTCCCAGAGCCGCCCCGCTCCTTCCCGGGGGCAGCCGTGCCCGTGGCCGGCAGGAGGTGGCCGGCGGCTGCCCAGGCGCTGGGTCGCTCCCTGCTACTGGCGGCGCTCCCCTCCATACCTGCGCCCCCGACGGGGAGGAGGCGATCGGCCGCGGGCAGCCGAGGGCCGCCAGCCCCGCTCTCCCCGGGCCCCGCCGCCGCCGCCCTGCAGGGTCCGCGGCCGGAGGTACCACGCTGGCCGGGCGGGGACCACCCCGTGCTCTCTCCGGGTGCGGCGGCGGAGCGGCTCCCCCGGCGTCCGCTGCTCCACACAAAGAGGAGGCGCGGAAACATGCATGGACGGGGCGGGGGACGGGGCGGGGGACGGGCCGGGTGGGCGGCTCGGCACCTCCCCGGGGCGGCAGCGACGGGAGAGCCGCCGTGACAGCCGGGCGCGGGCTGTGCCCCGAGATCCTTCCTAAAACAAGCCGCCGGTCTTTTCCACAGGGAGCGCCCGGCACCCCCTGTCCAGCCTGTTCGGCGGGATGGCGGCGGGGCCGGGTTCTGCGCCCTAAGGAGCCGCCGGGTTCAATCGGCGGAGCCGAGAGCGGCCCAGACCCGGCTCAGCCCCGCTCCGTCGCCGCTCCAGGGTTCTCCTCGCCTCCCCGCCCCATCCCCCCCGGCCACCGCAGCAGGCATGGGCTGTTTCTGCGCGGTCCCGGAGGAATTTTACTGCGAAGTTTTGCTCCTGGACGAGTCCAAGCTGACCCTGACCACGCAGCAGCAGGGCATCAAGGTGAGGACGCCGGCGGTGCTGCAGAATGCAGTGCGGTGGAGCCTCCTGGGCAGGGCTCCCGTTCGGGGGCTGCCTACCGACTGCGCTTCGGGAGCCGGGAAGGGTGCGGCGGTGGGAAAACGGGGTTTCGAGGGCCGAAAAAGTAACGTCGTAACTTTCCTTACGGACAGATGAATTGGGGTGACGCGTGCCGGTGGGGCACGATGTGGCTTTTGGGGGGCTTTTACATCGAGATACTCATTTAAGCGAGCAGGTGCCGACCACCCCGCGGCACTCAGGACGCTCGCCACCACAGGTATTGTTCTCTACTTGCTACCAAGAAAAGAAGGCGAAGGCGGCTGTTGCGCGCCCAGGTTGAGTCACTCCCCGCTCCCTCTGCCCTGGGCTCCCTGCCATGCCTGCCGCGCTCTCTACCGGGAGAGACCGGAGGCAGCGGAGCGGAGCGGGAGCCGCCCTCGGGGGCGGGCAGCAACTCCCGAGCAGAGGGATGAAGGTCCAGCCGCGTCCCTATCCCGCTGTCCCGTTTCCCGACCGGTGGGAAAAGCTCTGGCTTTGCTACAGCGCGCTCGGCGCTGATGAACTCTTCAAAGTAGTCATCTGCCAAGCGCTAATGAGCCCTGACAGAGCATATGAAAACTGAGATTTTTCTAAAGGCCCTTGACTTGGTCCTGTCTGGTTAAGCCTGATGACAGCAAATCGCATGTCTGAGACACTCGGAGCCCTTGTTCGAAATGCCGGTAACTGGAATTTATTAACGACGTAAGAACGTCGTTTCAGTGTTGGATGAGAAAAAAAAAGAAAAAGAAAATGAAAGAAATCAGTTCTTCCAAAATTTGTTTTTGGAGAGGAATCTGTCCAACTATATATTGGAATCATATTTATCAATTTTACCTGACTTCCGAAGAATAAAAGTCTGTATGTCTGTATGTTTTCAGCTTATATGATCAAAGTTTGGTGAAGCAACTAGGGAAAGGAAAATATGAGGGAGGGTAGGGGGGCAGGGAGTTTACATTAATCAACGTATTTTTAACTGTAATCTGGGTTATTACCAGGTCTACATGTACTAAGAATTTTCAAGCTTTGCTGAATCAACTGCTTGCAAATAGGCTCATCCATGGCAAATCCATGCTTAGCACAGAGGAGTAAGCAAATCACTGTGACGCTGGAATTCAGTACCTGTGTAGGGTCTATGAAGTCTAAGTTTAGACACTTCTGAAAAACCTTGCCTTTAGATGCACAGATGTGGGTATGTGTGTTATGCATGCATATATGCTTTTGGTGCCAGTAAATATGCAGTTGCAGAAGAAGTATGTTAAAAAGTAATCTGTAAAGATAGTCCTCTGCCTAGTTTAAAGGCTAAAGCCTGAAAGCGAAGTGTTTGTACAGTGTCCAATAAAAATTACTGTCCCATGGGAAAGAAAGGGTCTGAAGATGTGACTTCTTTTCAAGAATGTGTGACTTCCAGTGTTAGGAACTGTCTAGTTTAACATGAGAGTGTGGTTTTCTACCATTCTTACTGTGATCTGAATGTGGTATAATGCTAAATATTTCATCCCTTCCGCCTGCTGCTTCTCTGTCTTGGATCCAACCACAGAGAGTCATGGCCTCAGAACACTATGAGGATCTGACAGGAAAAGTAGTAGTTTGTTAACGTTTTGGCATAGGCACTGGCACCAGACAGCAGGGAACCTTAGGGAAAGGAGAATCTCCCTTTTTGTAGCAGCCTGTATTTTTTTTCCTGCTTTTTTCCCCAAGATTAAAGTTGTATAATGTGAAGCCACACCCCAGTGCGGTAGCTCCAAAAGCCTTTGAAAACCTAAAGAGAGGAACTGCATAGCTCTCTCCTAGTCAGTGATTTCCACCATTGTGTTCTTCCTTGCTTTTGTACTTGCAAAAGTGTTTGTGCAGCTGTGCGTGAAGAGCAGCACATGTCCAGCTGAATGGTAGCCACTGGTTTGCCTTACTGGGTTAGTCTTCAGCTGGATCAGTGTCCTAGTCCACTTCACAGGTGAAGGAGGGCAGAACTGGCTTTTTCAACTGAGTCCTGGCTTCTGTCATTTTAAACTGCTCAGGGAACGCTTGTTTGTTTTTTATTCTACAAATTTCCACAGAAATTACATTATTATTTTTTAGTAAAACAGGACATAAATTTTGTCGTGTTCCGTAATTTGGCACTTTAACCTTGAAATATGAATGTTTTATTATAATTCTTTTGTTAACACATACACATATAAATGCAGAGTCTTTTATTTTTAATTTTTTTTAATTGGAATTTCAACTTTGGCCCAGTGTGTAGACTGTAAATGTTTTTATGTATTTTATTTTAAAACAAAGGTTTCCTTAGAACTTCAGATTCTGAATGTGATCTTTCTTTTGTCTTTTTCACTTTTAATTTCGTTTACAGCTACACAGAAAACACAGATCTTGAACTATTGCAGGAGCAGAGTTTTTAAATAGTTATAGGAGCAACTTTGTTCCCTTCTTTTTTCCCAAGCAGATGCATGTATGCTAGAAATAAAACCCACAGCTCAATAGCTATTTACTATCTATGTACTTGCTGGATATTAGTGGATATAGTTTTATTTGCTTTGAAGGGTGGAAGACTAAGCTCTGTGCCTGTAGGAGTCCTAGGCAAGTTTGTTTCTTCAGTGAATGTCAAATATGTCATGAAGCAGAGTTTTGAAGATACATTGCTTAGCTTGTGTAGTAGTTATTTCTGGCTTGCTATGCTTGACAGCAGCTACCCACATCAAAATATGAATTTTTTTACTTACGGTTTTATTAACAAATTCTTCATACTACAGTGGGCTTCAAATTGTGCTTCGTATTAAAACAATGAGAAAAGGTGATACAAGACTAAGACTTTGAGTGCAGTTTTGGGTACTTTTCTCTGTGGACTTCAAAGAGCTTGTTAGGGAAAGGAAAAGATTGTTTTTTTCTATGAGGAAGCTGAGATGCAAAGAAGTTGAGTGACTTCAAGGTTGTACAACAGGTCAGCCCTATTAGCCTGGTAGCTGACCAGTCTGCCACGGGCCATGCTGTCTGAGAGGCTTGTGATGATCCCTGATCATCATCCCCCAGATGAAACTGATTCTGCTGCTCATAGTTGTTTTTTTTTTTGTTTTTTTTTCTGTTTTCTCACTGTTTCTGGTACTGTCTTTCTGTTGTCCCTTTATGTCTTCATGGTTTAATGTCAGAGCACTGTTGTATGAAAATGTAGAAGTTGGCTTTCCAGCATAATAATTAGATAATCAGGAAAGACCATTAGATGTCTCATAGTCTTAATTTTTATGTTTCCTTGTAGTACATCAGCAGAGATATTTTGGAGAGTACAGATTTTGAGATAATAAAGTGATTGCAGTTGTTAATTCAAACAGTTTTGGAATGGAAGAGGCTACTTACCAGATTCTAGTACAGTTTGTTTTATTGAGGTATATGGCCTCGGACTGGGACAGCTTTTCCTCTTTAAAAGAATGTTCAAGTTTCCAAGTAAAAAATGGGTTTTTAACAGATTTTTGCTATAAATGTGGTAAGAAGTAGCTGCCAACCACTCTTCTAGGACTGCTATTTTGACCAGTCTTCACCTAGATTAAACAATAACTTAGGCATTTTTATGGTACAGTACTACCTTCTAAGTAGTTATGGCTTATTTGTTGATGTCATGAGACACCTCTGTAGTGTTTTGATATGATACCTGACTGGTGGATTGTGGGAATTACATATTTTGCCTCTGCTAAGAATTGGAGTAATTGTCCTCCCAGAAGGAGTTTGGAGTGCGTTATTGCAAAAACTTGTTGGTGGAGGTTAAGAAAACCTCTGTGGGCCCTTAGAAAATAATGCTATGAAACCTATTTGTGATCAGCTGTTTCAGAAAGAGTGGTCATCCTGTAATGTGTATGTAACAGGAATTTAACAACTCTTTCCCCCCCCGCCTTGAAACAGTGTTTAAGGCAATTATTAGTTTTCTTTTTCCTGAAGAAGATAAAAATATTGTGAATCTTCTCTGGTTTTTGTTTGCATCTCTTTGGTTGGAAGAAAGATCTCAAAAAAATATTGGCTACTTCTCCAGGGAAGAAGCTCTCTAATTAGTCTTAAGCCATCTGGTCATTGCACTTTGGAAGTATTCCTTGAAATTCCTCTCTAAGCACTGTTTTTATGCCCTGTTTAGACTGACATGTGTAATGGACCAACAGCAATATTTCATTAGAAAAGTGGTGAATAGAAAAGATACAGTAGTTTTTCCTGGAAGACTCTGTTTACAGTGTGTTAATTTATTAGGTATTACACTTTAATAGTGATATTCTGGCCACCATACCACTTACCTGGTATGTTAAAGTGTTAACTGATCATCATCATGGCTGGGCTTCGTGAACGAAGATTTGGGGAGGGCTCTACCCACATTTGTTACAAGCGTGCTGGTGGCTAAAAAGTTAACTGGTACTTCTGTGATATACAAGGCTTTCTGGTCCTCCATATGTAGCCCTCTATAACGGGTTGCATTTTGTGGTTTGTAAGCTACGCCTATGGGTTGAAACTCTGTGTAAGATACTCCATCTCCAATGAAAGTGGGTGGGTTTTATCTGGGAAATAACCAGATAGATTTTTCCTTATGATGATTCACTGAGAATTTAACAAAATTAGATCCAAATATCTAAAAGCAGGCTTCACCATCTCAAAATGGTTCAAAAAATACCCCTCCTGCTTCAAAAAAAACCCCCTCAAACCTGAAATAGTGAGTGACTGATGTTGGGAACTGTGTTAAATGATTGGATATGTAAAAAAATGAATGAGTTCATCAAAATATGATAGATGTTTTAAAGGTATTTATGGAATAATTGACAATATGATTCAATGTGTGAAACAGATAAATGTACTAATTCTTAGAAAGTTTTCTGGGGATTGTTCTTTTTTTTTTTTTTTTCTTTTTTTTTTTTCCTCTCGATTCCTCACTGAAGCTGAGCAGTTTAGGCTTCATGTCTTCAAAATATAGTAAATACAGA